ACCATTGGCGGGAGCGGTGGAGGGCGGGCCTCGACCTGAACGGCGCCGCGGCGGCGCACATTGTACTCAGTGGTGAATCAGACGTCCTAGTTGGGACTGTCTGTCGCGTATGCCAGGTCGGTGCGCTGCTCCAGCGTGAGGATGACACGCCGTTTGCGGATCTCCGCACGCACCCGCTCCGAGTACGGCACTGGGATGCGGTGGGGGTCGAGATGCCAACTGTGCAGGAGGTTGACATTCGGCCACGGCGGCGGTACTCCCAGTACTGCGCCCGATGCACTGAGATGTACAACTGGTCCCATGGCCGGTGAGCCTGTCAGCATCGCTGCTACCATGGGCCGGCTATGGGCTAAGCCCAGCTACCTTGCCGTCGGAGGAGCAGCTACAACCGCAACTACTACAAATAGCAGGACCCAAGCGCTGGACGAGGTATCCGCGTAGGATCACAAACCCGACGGCGGCGGCTCTCTGTTCTTCTTCTACCTCTGTTCCCTTCCTCTTCCATTCCTCTTGTAATCACTGCTAAGACAAGAATCCTTGTGTGAGTGCTATAGATCGTGTGATACATATATCTAGTACCTAACATTTCGTATTCAGAGCCAGTCCACCATCTTTCCTGCCTCAATTTTTTTTCCTCAATCACCACCTTAAACCTGTTCGATCAAATATTTAGCCACCAAATGTCCTCAGATCAGGTTCTCAGCTTGGTCGTGGAGCAAGCGATTTACCCTATCACTACTGATGTAGTGTATTCCCTCTTCGCTCCCTTTGATGTAGAGCAGTTGGTGGTGTATCCCCAAACAAAATCGGAGGAAGGAGAGCCTTGTGTAGCGGCGGATGTCCGATTCACTTCGGCGCACGCAGCAGCTCACGCGTTCGCGTACTGGGATGGCCGCTGCATCTACTACCGATGTTGTCGCCTGCAAATGTGGTACGCTACACTCGACGTGTTGCCGGCCCCGGCTTCTCCTTCACCAGCCGTTGTCAAGGACAACCGTGACACTGCCGCGCGTTCGGCCCCGAGCCCGTGGTCGACCTCAACAACTCCACCGTGGCTATCTCTGGTCACGACGACGAGTCCGTCGGGGCCATCAGCACGCCACCTCACGTCCACGATACATCCCCCAAGTCTTCCCTCGACAGCGGCCACGTCCCCATCGTGGGCACGGCCGAGTACACATTGATGGCGGCAATTCCAGAAGTTGTCACTGAGCTCGCCATCTTCCCCGGCGTCCCCTTCACCACCAAGGCCCAGGAGGTCTTCGAGGTCCTCCATGACACGTCCTCTGCCTGCATCAAGTTTGCGCCTATAACATGTTCGACGGAATGCTCGCAGCAGGTTGCCACCACCGACTTTGGCAACAAAGGACGTGACGCCCCTACTGCCATCTTCCTTGAGCATGCGGTCGACCTCAAGGACATCACGCCCAACCCTCCAATGGCCGAACCGGAAGACCAGAAGGAGTACCAGGCTGTTGACATCACCATCGATGTCAAACTTGCCACCCCTGTACCTCCGATGCTCTCGAGGTACAACCCTGGCATTGCCAACAACTACGCTGACGTTGCTGATGCATCCCTGATTTTGTGGGTCACACGCCCGGCGCAATCGGTGCCTTCGGTTGCCCTCGTCCACGGTGACGACCGGGTGCAGCCAACTGCATGCACAGAGCATCGACCACATGGCGTTCATCTTGTTGTTGAGAGCAAAGGCTCGCTCCTGCCACCATTGCGGAAGGAAACTGAACCACAGCCATGGCCGCCTCCCATTCAAGTGCAAATTGCAGGGAACAATGATATTCAGGTACTTGGCATAGCCACGACTGATGATGTTGGCTATGTGTGGTGGCCACCTGACTATCAACCAAGGTTATGGAGCGAATTGCAAAAATGGCTACTTTCCATACTGAGATGTAAGAATTTCATTACTCGTGCTGCTACTTGTTCGGCTAGTAGAAAGACAGGCTTGGAGTCCGCCGATTGTGCCATTTATTTGGAATCTCTGCTATCCACATCTCCTATTATCACTCATATTGGATATTTCTCCAGGAGTGCAGTTGTTACAACTCTGAATCTACAGTTAAAGGGTCAGGTGCTACGCCCAATGTCGTGTCCGTCGTTCGAGTGTCATTCGGAATCAGCCTGTTTACGAGCTGCTTTGGCAAACTTTTGGTTCGCGTTCTGTTCTACTGGGAACTCTTGGAGTTATTGGCAAAATGAACATATACAACAGTGGCGTCCACCTGATGAAGCAGAGCTTAGGAGCATGATTCTAAGTTTCTTGTTTCCTATGGATGTGTCTCATATGCAGAGCAGTTGGTTCCATAAGCAGTCTCCTTATTCTCTTCAACTTGGGAAGTTACAGAAATTCATAGAGACATCATGTGACCTGAAGCCATGGCCTTCCTTTGTAGTACGTCCAGATGGATGGTCGTTTAGACTTACATGGTCACCAACTCAAGATCTTATGCCATGGAATAATTCTTTACACTCGTTATGAATCCTCAGTGGACCATTCCATGGCCTCTCGGTTCCCATTTCCCTATATCAAGTCTTCAACCTCAGTCAACATGTGTCAGTTTATTGGTGCAGCAGTTGGGTGACAATGGAAGCCTCTTATCCAAAGTGGCATTCCCAACTACCAACATGGTGTTTCTGCCAGGGGACTCGACAGTGCAGCTCAGGCAATCTCCAAGTGGTAAGCTGGCACATGCCAAATGCGGATCTGATTATATGGTGAGCACTCGTTCAATGGCCCAGTTTCAATATCGCTCTAGCTCAGTATTGCTAATTTTTGAGCAATTTGACTGGCAAATCGCGTGGCTGCCATTCCCTCGAGCTGGGTTTCTCATGTTTGGGCGCTTTAGCAGGGCTTGCACATTGCAGCGACCATTCTTACTGTCACCCACAATATGGAACTTTACTGTTCTTGGTAGTTCTTGGGGTACACGTATAGTTACATGTCATCTGCTGTTGTTTCCTTGGGATCCATGTAACAATCTACAATTTGTTGGTATGAGTCACCTTGTGACAAGCAGAGCCACCTTCTGTATGCTATTGTTGCTGCCATGGGATCCCGGCAATGACACATGTTGTTCGCTTGATGGTGCTACACTTCGTTGGCGTATTGCATGGGACCTGGGTGACCTACCAGTTCTGATCGATGCTCTACGAATACTGCAGTACCTAGTTGTTCAGCAAACAGTGTTGATATCAGGGGATCTAGGTGATATGGTTCTTGTGTTGGTCCAGTTTGTTGCACATAGTTGGTGCTTCCTCAGCTTACTTCTCCCAGATCCGTTGAGGTATGGGATTAGCATCACAAAACTGAACAAAGTCTGGGATCTGGGTAGCTTGGGACTGCAGCCGTCCGAAGTGATATTTTTTATGCGGCTTATGATGCCATGGAATTTTAGAAGTCCTGCTACCTATGGCTGGCATGCAATGAACTCTAGTCCTGAAGATGGTCCTCAAGCCATTATCGTGGGGCGACAATTCAGTTATGGGCTGCTCTCACTTGATGACTTGTATCTATTCCAGGACCATTATTGCAAGTCTCCTTGCTACATGTCTGAGGCGTTCAAATCTGAGGGAGTACAAGGCAATGAACATTGTGCAGTAAAGTTAGTTCTGCCAGCACTTTCTTCTTGTGAGCAATGGGATCCAGGAGGATTGAACTTTGCAAATGTTCAAGGCATGCAAGTACCTGCTCTACTCGGCTTGCTTATTGCACTATGCATATGCTCAGGTTGGTGTTTACAAGGAAACACTCCTATGAAATCAGCGGAGAAACGGCACCGGCTTGGGGGCAAGCCGATTGTTAAGGGGGAGGGGATGTCAGCATCCCTGCTACCATGTGCCGGCTATGGGCTAGGCCCAGCTACCTTGCCGTCGGAGGAGCAGCTACAGCTGCAACTACTAAAAATAGCAGGACCCAAGCGCTGGACGAGGTATCCGCGTAGGATCACGAACCCGGCGGCGGCGGCTCTCTGTTCTTCTTTTACCTCAGTTCCCCTTCCTCTCCCATTCCTCTTATAATCATTGCTAAGACAAGAATCCTTGTGTGAGTGCTATAGATCGTGTGATACATATATTTGGTACCTAACAGAGCCCTTCCCCTTGGCATGACCGTGCGACGAGCTGGCCCCGGGGTTGTGCTTTCCCTTGCCGAAGAAGCCACCCATGGCGACTAGGGTCAGTGTCGGCCGGCGTGACTAGACGTGGACGGGAGTAGGGAAGAAAAGACGCATGGACTCTGCAGCGGGAGAGTATCCTGTGATACGGGAGCATAGGTGCTCCCATGATACGGACTTCTGGGCCCTTGGATCTCAGATCCAACAGCAAACAAGGAGCTGCTGTACTTGTGCGCATTTTTTAGATTTTATGAGGGCTTTTTGCAAAAATGTTCATCATTTCACAAGAGCTCTTGGATCTAAGATCCAACGGCTGAGCTCACACGGGAGCACCTAAGCTTAGGTGCTTCCGGAGCACCTAATAAGCACCTAATATTTTCCCCTCTGCAGCCTTCCACTCGCTGGCATGCGGGCCCGAACGCGCGCATAACATTTATCAGGACCAGCGGCAGTGGTTGGGCAACCGACACACGGGCCTGAGGCTGACACCGAGCAGACACGCTGCCCAACACACGGGCCTGAGGCTGACATACAGCAGACACGCGGCTAGTCCGTGTGGACGCAAATCGGACATGCGTCCACACAGGCACACACCAGCCGTCTATGAAATGATGTATGCGACAGAGTGAAACAGGTTGCACGAGCTATGCTATACTGCTTATATTTACCCTGCAATTGTACAGTATGTACATCTCTTCATCTATTACACCGCACGTACAAAGATTTCATACTCGTACGCCGATGGCTATGCTACACCACCTCTGAGGTAAAACTGCACACAGGCAAAAGGAAAAGAAAAAGCGGATGATAACCGCAACGTATTACACTGAAATCTTTTGGGTCAGCTCTCACTGGTCGATGGTGAACTCAGGCAGTGCCGGTTATCAATCTCTCTTGTTGGTCCAGCTTCTTCACCTTGAGAACGCCAAGCAGGATTTGTAGCCCAAAGAACGCACAAAGACAGTATCCCATGGTTGCTGGCATCTACAATGGATAAATGGAAGTGTGTTTGAATTTAGTTTTGTGCTGGTAATTTTCTGAAAGATGAATGCAGCTTCTTTGGGAAACTTACCCGGATCGAATTGAGGTGCAGAATGGTAGCGAGGTTTACCAAACTACCCGCAGCCACTCCCTGGGTGACATGCAGCAGCATTTCACAACAGAGGATGGTATTAGCACTCAAAAGAAAATAAAAACAGAGCACGACATCATGATCGCATATAGGGTGTTCATGGCCGGGTTCAAACAAACCCAACCAAAACCGACAGTCAGATGAAAGTACAGTTTTTTCATTAGCCATGATCAAGGACACAAATTCTAGTTCAAATAAATGAATCGAGCGGTTCCCACCGTGAGACCATTTTTTAACACCCTAATCACACACAGTGCATAGCATCCTAAGAGTTGAAAAACTGGCACCCACCCACTATCAGTTTTATCTTGGACAGCCCTAAATTCCCATAGCAATCATAACATAACACAATATAAAGCTTAATTAACTTATAAACTCACATATCCAATTGTTTTCTGTACAGCGGCAACTCTTTGAAACGATCTTTCCGATTCTAATGCTCTGACACGAAGCTTGAGATCACCTTGCTCCTGTTATAAAACAACAAAAAATACACCATTGAGTTCATTGTTGAATGGCACCAGCAAACCATGGAAAATAGACCAAAGAACATTGTAGATACCAAACGCTCAATGATCTGTGCAAGTTTTTCAACTCTGTCAGGTTGACGGAACACATTGTAGAATGCACGAGACTGCCTGTCCCATCGCTTCCTTGCATCCTGAGGTATAACGAAATGCACATGAAACAATCACTCCATGGTAAACATACTCAGGCGTTACCATGTAGGTTAGAATTATGGACCAAAGGTTAACTTGCCTTAACAAGTACTTCAACACCAGCTTCATTAAATCTGAGCAACTCCATGGCATAACTAGTAGTTTAAATAGATGCATCAAATCAGATTCAGAGAAGGCCATGTCAAAATTTTGTCAATTAAGAACATGGAATGCTACTAATGTAGAGAATACTCACGGCTTAGCAATCTCTGTAATATCAAATCTAGGATCTAAACCTTTCCCAATACCATCCAGTACTGAAAGAATGGAGAAAGCATAAGGAGCCGTGAATGGAGAAAGCATAAGGAGCCATGAAGCTATGGAATCATGTTACAGCCATGATTCTCTACATGTAAAGCTGTCAGACCTGAGAATGCTCTGACAACAAATGTAAAGGTGGCAGGAAACCGAAATGGTTGATCAGCAGCAATTGCCAAAAGATCCTCTCCTGTAAAATTTTGATGCAAGTTAAAGCAGAAAAGCAAAACCAGTAGAATGACATGCATGGCATGTTTCCTTCTATCATGTTCCGTGATAGATTGCAGGAATCATGAACCATTACCGATAGCTGCAAGTCTCTGCTTCTTCTTTTCAAACTTTTCCTCCTTAGATAATTGTTTTTTAAATCCAGGTTCCACGGTTGCCATCTCTCTCTCTTTCCTTTGTGCAGCTAGACGCTCTTCAAAGCTATATAATAGATAAACAGAACACAGTGAGGCTAAGCGGCGTTGTTGATCTCATTTAGGAAACTTTTCATGTAACTAAGTATACAAAGGAGCATCCTTCCGGGATAAAGGACTTGTAGATTACCTATCCAGGAAAAATTGAGCTGTTCTTCTGACGGCTGTCATATCTCCAGTAGGAACAAGGACACCCATTTGAACCATTGCTTGAAGCACCTGCATGGATACACATGATGTTCTGTCAAACTTCACAGGGTCTACATTATTGTCTGCAGGTAAACTACCAAGAAAAACTTACTTTATCAGGATCTTTTTCATAAACTCCATAAAATACTTCAAGCAGTCCTTCACGGATATTTGGGCTAATACTGCAAGTAAAAAGAATGAAGATTAGATAAATTACATAAATGGACTTTGGAGGAAACAAAATGATCATAAGCAACCTTCCCATCATCCCAAAGTCGTAGAAGATAAGCCTCCCACCATTGGCATCATCAACAGCAATGTTTCCTGGATGCTGTAAACGGAATCAATTTAACCAGTGCATGGCTACTGCATTTAATCGAGATACTTAAAAGGAGCAAAATAGAGTACATATGATTTGATATCATGGAATTTATAATCTAAGAGATGATAATATTTGACATTATGGCTATAGCTGACATAAATAGAGCTGCAACCAATAAAATTGCCAAGGTTGGAGATCGTTTGATGATTTGGAATGCACATATGCTTTGCTGATGGGACTCTGGCAGAGCATGACCACATAACTACACTTAGTTTCTCTTAGTGCATAATAGTTTTTTGATTCATTTGAATGCATTATAGCATCCCCACAAAAAAACATTATAGTGCAATAATAGAAGGTTGACTGCATTTTTGTGATTTGAGCGCAGAAGACATTGCCAAAACACTGGAAATAAAACACTAATATAGTAGATATAGAGTAAAATGAACCTGCAAGGTTATACCCGAATTCATCCAGTAATCAAGAGGACAAGAGAATATAATGAGAAGTAATGAACAAGACATCCATTAGCCCAGACACTGCTTTACTTTATATGCACTGTATCCATGAATTTATCAGAATTTGTAGAACATTCTTTAATTCTCAAACTGCTAAAGGGAAGAAGCTTCCCTGCCTGGAAGTCCAATTGAAACAACTACAGCATATTTCGCTTATGTATAGTGCAACTAACCGGGTCGGCGTGGAAAAATCCATGCGATAAAATCTGCTCAAGGTAGGACTCAACAGCATACCGGCCTAACCTGAAAAAGATTACGGTTGGCAACAAAAGATACCAATGTTAGTAGGTACCGCAAAAAAAGTCATGGGCGAGTAGTATTCAGACTTCAGAGGATACCTTTTCCGATCAAGCCCTAACTTATCTATCTGCTGTATCCTATTTATTTTGATTCCTGGGACATACTCCATTGTTAGAACCTACAAAGCATACAAAATAAACTTAAGTCTTATCTCCTGTTCTATGTTGCTTGAGAGTCTATTCACAAGTTTCTGCACGGAAGGAACCTGAGGTGTAGTGTACTCCCAGTAAATTTCTGGAACCTTCACATAATCCATGTTTTTGAAGTTTTCAGCAAACTTTTCAGCATTAAATGCTTCTTTGGTATAGTCTATTTCCTAAAAAACAACCATAAGATGATTATGTAATTTGCTTTCATGTAAATATACAAGAAACACCGAAAATCAAATGGCTGATTTGAAAGAATTTATCTAATACAATCTGAGGAAAATATATTGATAGTTTGATACAAAGAACTCAAAGCAGGAAAGAGCATCATGAAATGGACTAATAATACAGAGCAAAGTCAACATCAAGATGTAAGCCTCTCAACCCCAATCCTCACACTATTATGGAAGTATTGACACCAAAACGCTGTTTTGTGATGCCTAGAGAACTCTACCTACGCATCAAATTATCTCAATTTACTCTCACTGAGGAAAGATGCATAAAAAATGGATACATTTGCTTCCGATAGTCTGTTATATAATAGGTGTTATTTCAAAAACCTGAGCTCTGACAAGCGTGAGATAGTAACAGACCGTAGGTTGTGAGCATAAGACAGCCGCACCTGATATAATACATTTGCACATTCATCATAAATAGCAACCCAGTCTCTCTTGGCACCATCTGACTTGGGATCCACTTTCTGAAGGTATTCTGCTATTACCTAGAACATCATCAGTTGAGGATATCAGCTGATGGTTTGAAAAGAAAGAAAAACAATTGAGAGGCACAATCTGTTAGGGAAAAAGTACACTTTAAGAGACTTGCCCTTAAATTCTTCAGATCAATATCAAACAGCTCTTTCAGACCAGGCCTTTGCACCTTGAGTACAACTTCTTGGCCATTTAGGCATGCCCGATGAACCTGGCCTGCCAAAAAGGGATGTATTGTTACAGTGTCAAGTTGACACAAGAAAATAAAATGCTTTTGTTCTAGTCAAATTTCAAGATTACATATCTAGTCTACGAGCTTATTACCGAGGCTAGCAGCAGCTAATGGTTCAATGTCAAATCGTTCAAATATCTCATTTACAGATGCTCCCAGCTCTTCTTCAATAGTTGACACAGCTGTCTCTGAAGGGAATGGAGGGACCTGATCCTGCAAAAGAGGGTCCATGAAAACATTAGTATAAAGTAAAGATATAGCACTGCTAGTTACCCAAAATCTAGGAAACGCGAGAAGTTTTTAACTGACAAGAACGACTATTTTACTACACTGATCTGATGACCAATTTAACTAAATTGGATACATATTTATGCATAAATTTGCAACTGGAGGACTTTGGGGAATTTGGGTCAGCAACAATCAAGCGCATATAGCTGAAGCTCGTAAGCTACTGGAGGAGATCGTGATTAGCCGGCGCTAACAGAAACGAGAGACGGTAAGATTTCAAGGACTGAGAGCAGTTAGCTGATGGTGGAAGTGTTCTAATAGGCCTTAAATACTTGTGTTTTATCAAACCACCAAAAAACGAAGGATGTTTCATATGCAGATAGGGTGGCAGGTACTATGAGATTCTGATAGACCCCCAATTTAAAATCCAAGAGATAATCTTTTGAAGTTAATCTATGTCAAGACACTTAGTACAGATTTTACCCATGGTCATTACTGAATAATTTTTTTTTGCGGGAGTACTGAATACTTGTTTTAAGATTCACAGACTATTCATTACGAGTAATGAAACAAGCCCTTATGTTTTTCTAATAGGTTAAGTACACGTTCCCTATAGCAATCTATTACAGATGCAGATTTGCTAATAAACAATAATCCAATATTCACCGCAGATGCTTTGGATGTGTCCAGATGCGGAAGTATAGAAGTGTGCATGCAAACCTGCAATTCAGATAATTGATCCACATATTCTTTTGGAAGAATATCCACCCTGGTGGAGAATTGCTGTCCTATTTTAATAAATGTGGGGCCTAATCTCAAAATACTCTCCTTGAGCCACTTGGCAAGAACTTTCCTCCTCATGACCCTTTTCTCTTCCGTCATCCCCCCTGCAGGTAATTCATGGGCATCAAGGGATGCCTTATGCAGACAATTTTACTAAGAATATGTAGGGAACTTTAGGACACAAACGAACAGCATCCAGCAAGTCAGTGAATTGTTTAAAATGCAATACACCCTGTTTATAAGATGAAGGATTTTAAGCCGGCGTCCTTTCTCCATGTTATCATATAGTACTTCTTGTTATATGTTCAAACAGTAAGGCACCTTTTATGACATGTAACCTAAAGTAGTTGGATTACACTTCATCTCAAAAGCCATGGAATTGCCTATTATTTTCACAAGTAGAAACATAAGTCCAAATCTGCCTCTCAAGTATCTTGGTAACGAATATACAAACACAAATAAACATGTAAGGCTGCACGTGGTTGACAAGTAAAGCCTAAATGTGCAAAAAATATGACACATAAAACAATCATTCGTTATTTTATGGAATATGACCAAAGACTTGTAAAAATTGTGGTATAAAACCTTTAATATAGTACCGTGTCATTTCTGTTTGCGTGATTAAGTTCTAACCTCGATAAGTGAACTTCTGGTTGTTGAGCCAAACCTTGAATATAAATGCGAAGACAGAGCCCCATATCTCCAAGGTTCTTTGAATCGTTGAATAGGTTTTAAACCGATTCCAACGACCACCAGGAACAACAGACACCTGCAAGATTTAGATTTTCAACCCAGAATGAGGAAGCATTAACAATGGCATGAGATAAACATTTCAGCTGATCCCAGATGAACAACAATATTAACACAAATCATGGAGTCAAAATGTGCATGACGGTAAGTCATGCTTCCATCCGCACAAGCTGAAAGCACTACAGGGCTGACAGAACAAACAACTGACAAGCTTGTTTACTTCTCTCCACCACGGTGCATATTCTATTACTCCTTTCTGTCGATGCTATTACCCTGCCTTCCCTGAATATAACTTCATTCCAGCTAGAACAAAATATGAATGACCTACTCCTTGCATTACACATTTACACTGACGTGTCACTGAAGTCTTTAGTCAAAGCAACATCGCAGTCCTGCTTACTACAGGAGATATCACACATCCGTCTCAGAAAACAAAAATGGCACAACCCAATGATCGCACACACTGAAGACGCATACTTAGGAATAGAAAACGCCGAGCAAACAAATATTCACCTTGGGCATGGCCTCTCCGTCGCTTCGCTTAAACCATGCGTCCTCCCTGCCTATCTCCTCCACTCTCTCCTTCCTCCTCCTCTCATCCTCACCCGGCCCACGGCCGGATACCACAGAAGTGCCAGACCCGGATGGCACGGGCTTCACGCTCGCGCCGTTCCCACTCCCACTCGCACTCCTGTTGCTGTTGCTGTTCCCGTTGCCGTTGGACCCGAGGTACGCCTCCACCGCGGCATCGTCGTACCCGAGCCTGCTCGCGCTCCCGTTGAGCCCGAACTTCCTTTCTTCCTCCTCAGTAAGCGCAGAGGAGGATTTCTCCTCGAGAACAGCAAGAACGAGGCGGTCCTTTGATCGGCGGCGGAAGCGGAGCGGTGGCGGGGGGCGGCG